TTATTGAGTGTGCCTATTGAATTCCATGAGTAAAATGACTCATAAAACATGTGTCGCACATGCCCTTTTCTATATTTTGTTTTTGGTGACCTGACCTGACCTGACCTGACCTTGACCTTGACCTTTGAATGACATTGTGTGCAATGAATATTGTATTGGTAGTCTAAGAACACGTTTTGGGCAATCAGTCTCAGTCCATTCTTCGGCAACTACGGTGCAAGGCCGATACTGTAGAAACTTGTATTTTGTACCCTTGACCTGACCTTGACCTGACCTCTGACCTACTTAAGCAAAAAAATTTGGGCTCTTAAGATCCGCCTTGTTGAGAGCTTTCGATTGCCGTTTTCCCCGTCTTTCTACGACCATCGGTTCGGAAGTTAGACAGGGGGGCAGAATCTGCCCCCCCCCAGCAGGGCGCGTATGGCTGAATAGCCCAGCGGGGCGCGGGTTAACAAAGCACTAAAGTAGCTTAGTAATCATTTCCCACATTTTCTGAGCATCTAACATGACATACAGCAGTGCAGAGCAGCTTCAGAGAAGAAACACTTTAACCCGCGCCCCGCTGGGCTATTCAGCCATACGCGCCCTGCTGGGGGGGGGGCAGATTCTGCCCCCCCTGTCTAACTTCCGAACCGATGGTCGTAGAAAGACGGGGAAAACAGCAATCGAAAGCTCTCAACAAGGCGGATCTTAAGAGCCCAAATTTTTTTTGCTTAAGTAGGTCAGAGGTCAGGTCAAGGTCAGGTCAAGGGTACAAAATGCAAGTTTCTACCCCAGCCAGCCTTCCCAAATGGGGCCCATATGGGCTGAAAGTGGGGCATCTGGGCTTAAGTGGGCATGGGCTACATGTGGGCTATTATCTGGGCTAAATCTGGGTCCCATATGGGCTGAGCCCCAGCAAACATGCCCACCCCAGCAAACATGCCCACATGGTTCCCATATGGGGCCCACATGGGCCCCCCACCTCTTCCATATGGGTCCCACATGGGAATGGCAGTGGGTGACACGTGGGACCCATATGGGCCAGCCCACGTAGGCCCCATATGGGACCCACGCGGCGCCCACATGGGACCCATATGGGTAGCCCATCTGTAGCCCATGTCCCACGTGGGCCCATCTGGCCCATGTTCACCCCATATGGGACCCACATGGGATGCCCATCTCCAGCCCACATGCGTTTGGCCCATCTTGATCCCATATGGGGCCCATATGGGTAGCCCATCTGTAGCCCATGTCCCACGTGGGCCCATCTGGCCCATGTTCACCCCATATGGGACCCATGTGGGCATGTTTGCTGGGACATGGGTCCCATATGGGGTGAACATGGGCCAGATGGGCCCACGTGGGACATGGGCTACAGATGGGTTACCCACATGGGCCCCATATGGGATAAAAATGGGCCAGGTGGGCAAAACGCATGTGGGCTGGAGATGGGCATCCCATGTGGGTCCCATATGGGGTGAACATGGGCCAGATGGGCCCACGTGGGACATGGGCTACAGATGGGCTACCCATATGGGCCCCATAGGGGATAAATATGGGCCAGGTGGGCCAAACGCATGTGGGCTGGAGATGGGCATCCCATGTGGGTCCCATATGGGGTGAACATGGGCCAGATGGGCTCACGTGGGACATGGGCTACAGATGGGCAACCCATATGGGCCCCATATGGGATAAAAATGGGCCAGGTGGGCCAAACGCATGTGGGCTGGAGATGGGCATCCCATGTGGGTCCCATATGGGGTAAACATGGCCCAGATGGGCCCAGTGGGACATGGGCTACAGATGGGCTACCCATATGGGCCCCATGTGAGATAAAAATGGGCCAGGTGGGCCAAACGCATGTGGGCTGGAGATGGGCATCCCATGTGGGTCCCAGATGGGCCCACGTGGGACATGGGCTATAGATGGGCTACCCATATGGGCCCCATAAGGGATAAAAATGAGCCAGGTGGGCCAAACGCATGTGGGCTGGAGATGGGCGTCCCATGTGGGTCCCATATGCGGTGAACATGGGCCAGATGGGCCCACGTGGGACATGGGCTACAGATGGGCTACCCATATGGGCCCCATATGGGATAAAAATGGGCCAGGTGGGCCAAACGCATGTGGGCTGGAGATGGGCATCCCATGTGGGTCCCATATGGGGTGAACATGGGCCAGATGGGCTCACGTGGGACATGGGCTACAGATGGGCCCCATATGGGATAAAAATGGGCCAGGTGGGCCAAACGCATGTGGGCTGGAGATGGGCATCCCATGTGGGTCCCATATGGGGTAAACATGGGCAAGATGGGCCCAGTGGGACATGGGCTACAGATGGGCCCCATATGGGATAAAAATGGGCCAGGTGGGCAAACGCATGTGGGCTGGAGATGGGCATCCCATGTGGGTCCCATATGCGGTGAACATGGGCCAGATGGGCCCACGTGGGAGTTGGGACATGGGCTGCAGATGGGCTATCCATATGACCCCATATGGGATAAAACTGGGCCAGGTGGGCCAAACGCATGTGGGCTGGAGATGGGCATCCCATGTGGGTCCCATATGGGGTGAACATGGGCCAGATGGGCTCACGTGGGACATGGGCTACAGATGGGCTACCCATATGGGCCCCATATGGGATAAAAATGGGCCAGGTGGGCCAAACGCATGTGGGCTGGAGATGGGCATCCCATGTGGGTCCCAGATGGGCCCACGTGGGACATGGGCTATAGATGGGCTACCCATATGGGCCCCATACGGGATAAAAATGGGCCAGGTGGGCCAATCGCATGTGGGCTGGAGATGGATATCCCATGTGGGTCCCATATGGGGTAAACATGGGCCAAATGGGCTCACGTGGGACATGGGCTACAGATGGGCTACCCATATGGGCCCCATATGGGATAAAAATGGGCCAGGTGGGCCAAACGCATGTGGGCTGGAGATGGGCATCCCATGTGGGTCCCATATGGGGTGAACATGGGCCAGATGGGCCCACGTGGGACATGGGCTACAGATGGGCTACCCATATGGCCCCATATGGGAAAAATGGGCCAGGTGGGCCAAACGCATGTGGGCTGGAGATGGGCATCCCATGTGGGTCCCATATGGGGTGAACATGGGCCAGATGGGCCCACGTGGGACATGGGCTACAGATGGGCTACCCATATGGGCCCCATATGGGAAAAATGGGCCAGGTGGGCCAAACGCATGTGGGCTGGAGATGGGCATCCCATGTGGGTCCCATATGGATCACTCATGTAGGCCCCGTTTAAGTTCCTCCAAGAGCATAAAAGCAAAAAAGGTGACTGTTGTTCATGTGAATTTTGGACTCCAGTCTCCAAGTACATCAAGTTCATACATGATGCCATATGGGGTCAATGTAGGCTGGCCCATATGGGTCCCTGATGTGGGGGCCGCGTGGGTCTCATATGGGGCCTACGTGGGCTTGCCCATATGGGTCCCATGTGTCACCCACTGCTACTCCCATGTGGGGCCCATATGGAAGAGGTGGGGGGCCATGTGGGCCCCATATGGGAACCATGTGGGCATGTTTGCTGGGATATGGACATTTCCTTTACTACAAAATGTTGGTATCTGACCCGACACCTATCTGGGCTGGATGCGGGCAGCATGTGGGCAAACTGGACATCAACAAGCTGGGCACACCCAGCCGGGGCCCACATGGGGCCCGGCCGCCCACATGGACAAAATTTACTACAAAACTTTGTTAACTGACCCGACACCTAGGTATCTGGGCTGGATGCGGGCAGCATGTGGGCAAACTGGACACCAACACGCTGGGCACACCCAGCCGGGGCCCACATGGGGCCCAGCCGCCCACATGGGCAAAATTTACTACAAAACTTTGTTAACTGACCCGACACCTATCTGGGCTGGATGCGGGCAGCATGTGGGCAGACTGGGCACCAACAAGCTGGGCACACCCATCCGGGGCCCACATTGGCAAAAGTTACTACAAAACTAATTGTTAACTGATCCGACACCTACACCAATCTGCAATAAACATTTCCTTTATTACAAAATTTTGTTAACTGACCCGGCACCTATCTGGGCTGGATGCGGGCAGCATGTGGGCAAACTGGGCACCAACAAGCTGGGCACACCCATCCGGGGCCCACATGGGGCCCAAATGGGCAAACTTTACTACACTTTGTTAACTGACCCGACACCTATCTGGGCTGGATGCGGGCAGCATGTGGGCAGACTGGGCACCAACAAGCTGGGCACACCCATCCGGGGCCCACATGGGGCCCAAATGGGCAAACCTTACTACAAAACTTTGTTAACTGACCCGACACCTATCTGGGCTGGATGCGGGCAGCATGTGGGCAGACTGGGCACCAACAAACTGGGCACACCCATCCGGGGCCCACGTGGGGCCCAAATGGGCAAACCCCAGCCAGCATGCCCATATGGGCCCCACATTGGCAGTTGATGGGCATGGTGGGCTAGGTGGGCCATGGGCTAGAGATGGGCAAATATGTGGGCTGCATGTGGGCCCCACATGGGCTGCCCACATATTTTTTGGCAGGCATAATGCTTGATAATGAGATTGCTTGCACATGTACGAGGGCATATCCACGAATTTTGGTGAACAAAGGCATTCACGCGGTGTTCCTGTATGGTGGGCTTAACATGGGCACTGCGTGGGCAGCCCATGTAGTGGGGTGTAGGTGGGCTGGATGTGGGCAGCCCATTATTTATTTTTTCACTGTCCAATGTGTATGATATTACAAGAAAAAAGAACTCGCTGTTTAGTCTCATGCCTCCAAAATACACTTCGACGTCGTGAGGAAGTCGCATAGTTGATGTTTATGAGACCAGCTACGGCTGATATTGGACAGTCAATGTTGTGATTGTGTCGTATGATTGTGTCGCCTGAGCCCGCCCCTGCGCGGGCGACCCGCCGGCGGAGCTCGGCCCACCGGACGGGGCCTGGGGCCGCCTCTGCACCGCTCGGGGCGGTGACCGGTCGACCGTCTGGCGGGGCTGCGGCGTCTGGGCGGGCCAGTTGGCGTTGAGACTCTGAGTGGTGTGCGTGTCCAATAAAGCCTTAATTCGGGCGGAACCGACACATGGCGCGGTCGGTATTAGCTCGAACCCGCCCATAGTGAGTACAAAGTGCGATTAACGAAAGTGAAAGGAAGCAGGAATGCGTAGCCGTGGCGGCCGCGCCGCAACCACGACCGCGTTCGAGTCTCTTCGGAGAGGCGCGCCCGCAGCGACGCCAGCTGTATCGCTAGTTGGTCGAGTCGCAGCTGTGACATCAGGACGTAGTCGTCCCATCTCTCCTTCCAGAGGTAGAAGGCGTCACTGCGGTCGGTGGAGATGTCCAGTCGGTCAGGCCGGATCGGCTGCAGGCTCGTCATACCACAGCGATTACGAAGGACTGTTCTAGAAGCCCTCCACGCCAGCCACCTGGGGAAGGAGAAAACGAAGGCCCGCGCAAGACAGATCGTCTACTGGCCCGGGATCTACCGGGATGTGGAAAATGTCACCCGCTGCTGTACCAGCTGCCAGAGAGATCAACTCGCTCAGCAGCAAGAGACCATGATGAGGAGACCGCCAGCGGAAAGGCCGTTCGAACTACACATCGACTTTGCCGATCACGCCGGCAGGAAGTACCTCGTGGCAGTGGACAGATACTCCGGGTGGCTGTTTGTCGCCGACCTCGGTGTAAGCGCCCCCGCTTACACCGGTCCGAAGGACGATAGCAGGCGTCATGACGAGCGCACTCGCTACGCGACTTAGCGTAAATGGACGGCACGGGAAAAGGGCTTTCGGCGGTACCCGGCTTTTTGATGTCGTGTTCAGTAAGTAATGGTTTTATCTCTTTTATTTAATTGCCCAACTCCCTTGGACACCTGATAGCGGATGTCAGAATAACAGCAGCACTCCCATTCATATGTTATTTCAGGTGTCGTCAATTACTGTCCGATTAGCGAATTCCAAGCAGCCGACTTATAAAGCACTAATGTCCTTAGTGTCCATCATAATCGGACCTTGTATGTTTATTCTGCATCAGATTATTTCCTGCAAAAAAAAAAATATCTAAAGTTCATTTCTCAATTAATTCAAGTCAAATCAGATGATGTTACTTTTAATGCAGGTAATACAGAATCATGGTAGAACACAGCACGGGCAATACACAATTCGCTTATGTGTCTGCACCTTTTACATTGCTGGTGCTTATTTTACAGGAGCCGTGCGGCGGAACGGGCTTACCCAGGACACCAACAACGGCCAGCTGGAGGTGGCGCCACGAAAGTGGTTTACGGGTGCCAGGAACCGCGACGGAGGCCGCCAGGAGAGGACACCAGCTGGAGTTTAAGCGGAGGAGCAGATGAGAGAAGAAGTCTAGAGATGAACAGAAGAGAGGAGAGAGTTTAAACAGCATTTTTGTGTTTATCGATAATATAAATATTGATCACTGACAGTTTGTTTTGTTGCGGTGGCGAACGTTCAGCAATGATCAGGGGGAGTGATTGAAATAGCAGACATCGATTATATTATAATCATATTGAAATTAATTGTGGGTTCTGGTGGGAACTAAGATGGGCTTTGGTGAATATTTATTGATTAATACAAACGATGCTAGGGAGGTGAGCCAGCATGGGGCCCACCTAGGGCCCACATCTGCTGGCCCACGTGGACCCCATATGGTACCCACCTTGAGCCCATGTGGGCCAGCCCAGGTGGGCCACATATGGTGCCCATCTTGAGCCCATGTGGGCCAGCCCAGGTGGGCCCCATATGGTACCCACCTTGAGCCCACGTGGGCCAGCCCAGGTGGGCCCCACCATTTACCCAGGGACAAATTTATGTGGGCCCCACATGGGCTGCCCACATGGGTCCCACCAAGTGGCCCACCTGGGCCCCATGTGGGGCCAAGGTAATAATGTTGGCTGGGTATGGGTCCCAGCTGGGTCCCATTTCGAGCCCACATGGGCTCCAGGTGGGATTTTTCGCTTATACCCATTTGGGTCCCGGCTGGGAAAGCCCATATGGGACCCGGCTGGGCCCCATTTGGGTCTCATTTCGAACCCACATGGGCCCCATGTGGGATTTTTCGCTTATATCCATGTGGGTCCCGGCTGGGAAAGCCCATGTTGGACCCATATGTGCCCCGGCTGGGCCCCATATGGGTCCCATTTCGAACCCACATGAGCCCCATGTGGGATTTTTCGCATATACCCATGTGGGTCCCGGCTGGGAAAGCCCATGTGGGACCCATATGTGCCCCGGCTGGGCCCCATATGGGTCCCATTTCGAACCCACATGGGCGCCATGTGGGATTTTTTAATTATACCCATGTGGGTCCCGGCTGGGAAAGCCCATGTGGGACCCATATGTGCCCCGGCTGGGCCCCATATGGGTCCCATTTCGAACCCACATGGGCCCCATGTGGGATTCTTCAATTATACCCATGTGGGTCCCGGCTGGGAAAGCCCATGTGGGACCCATATGTGCCCCGGCTGGGCCCCATAAGGGGCCATCTGGGCTGCCCATATGGGACCCAGTTGGACGCCCATGACAAACACATCTGGGCCCCAAGTGGGCAGCCCAGATGGGCCCCAGTTTGCTGCCCACTTGGGGCCCATATGGGCCCCATTTGGGAAGGCTGGCTGGGACAGTATCGGCCTTGCACCGTAGTTGCCGAAGAATGGACTGAGACTGATTGCCCAAAACGTGTTCTTAGACTACCAAGACAATATTCGTTGCACACAATGTCATTCAAAGGTCAAGGTCAAGGTCAGGTCAGGTCAGGTCAGGTCACCAAAAACAAAATATAGAAAAGGGCATGTGCGACACATGTTTTATGGGTCATTTTACTCATGGAATTCAATAGGCACACTCAATAAGTGATATGGACCACCTCTGGATGAATTTCAGGTCGAGGTCAGGTCAAGGTCAGGTCAAGTGAGGTCAAATTTTGAAGTTGGTTGTTAAGGCCTAAAAAGGTGTCTATCCGATGCAGTTTTTCACGGCAAATCGAATGGTGCTATTTTTGTTTCCGTACGAGGTCTAGAACTTCCAAAAAAAAATCATTTTTCAAAAAATTTGTGTGTCGTGACGTAATAAAATTTTGAATACCTCCCACATTTTTGAACCGATTCTTCTAAAAATTGGTATGTAGGTGCACATAGACCACTTCTTTGACATATATTCCGGTTTTTTCGATAAACTCAAAATTTTGGATTTTATAAATATTTTCCCAAAAAAATCAGTTTTTTGAAAAAATTTAGGCCAAAATCCAAAAATTTTCAAAAAACCGAGATAGCCATTTGATAGACAAAGTAGAATCACGTATAACATTTTTTGTTACGTCTTGATTCCTTTAAAAATGAAGATGTTAGCGGCGTTTGAAATTTTGCCGTTTTTGAGGCGAAAATGGCGAACATGACGTCACTAAAACGTCAATTTCTCAAAAGTTTTCCGACGGATTTCGCTCAAATTTTCAGAGAACGTGTCAAATTGATGTATGATAAGGTACTGAAAGGTTGACGTCGCTGGCGTAACGCGTTTAGAAGTTATTGGCGAAAAACGGGAGGGGGGCAGATTCTGCCCCCCCCCCCCCAGCGGGGCGCGGGTTAAATGCACAGACTCACACCAGCCACCCAATGAGCCCGTTCCTCAGTTGACTGTTCCCCTGGATGCAGCTTGGCAAGGTGAGCTAACTATTGGCAAGTAGAAGGTTAGCAGGTAAGATTGAGTTAGGGTGATTACCTACCTATAACTGGGTGCTACTGCTATGCAGGTCATAGGCTGCAAATATGTGTGATGATTGAGGTTAGGTCAGCTGTCAGGTTATTCAGGTATGCTCAATGCTCATTGCTCAGGTCACATTTTTATGGACACTTGGCAAATTAAAAAACTAACATAACCTAATCTAAGCTAACCCGACTAAACCTACACAACTGCTGACTATAGGAACTAAGCACCTACCTACTTGTGCCTACATCTCATAACATGTCAAAGAAGAGTTCCTTGGTGGAAGATTACCCTCAGTACTTTTTATCCCAGCCTTGTGAAGAAAACAAATACTTTTAAGCTCTGAGTCACTGCTGGCCATCCACAGGAAGAAACGCTGAGACTGAGAGCTTTGCCATTGTATATTGGACCAACAATCACTATCACGAATGACTATGAACACATTATATGATCACATTGTTGCATGGATTGTCACATTGACAATTTTATAACAATTCTTTTTTTCAAGAAATACAGTAATGATTAACATCAAAATCAACATAAAGTGGATTTAGTGATCCAAGCTTTCTCCTCCAGTAGCAATGGAATGATCGCATGTTTCATTTGCCAGACACTGAGTACCTGATGCTGGTGATGCACATTACAATCTGTATAGCATCTAAGCATAGTAAAGCTGCCAAAGTCCATTCATTCTAGATTTTTAACTTGATAGTTAGCACTAATTCATCTTGCTGTTGTAAGTTATCATTCAATATCCATACTAATACATCAATATGCGCTCATCAGTCATCAGTCAACATTTTCTGGCATGATCCTGCTCAGCGCGCTTTTCAGTATTGCTCAAAGATCTGCAATATAATAGCTTGTTTTCGGCCAATAAGCTCTTTTAATTTTACTTTTTCTTGCTGATATATGAGCCCGATCAACTTGCGGTTATCAACCAAAATTTCATAACTTCAAGTTCAACTTGATATTGATATCAATATTGCTCAGGAGTCAAGACCTCTCACTCTGTCAGCCTCCTGGATACGTCGGATTGTTTTCAGTCCCATGCTTCTTAACCCGCGCGGGGCTGGGGGGGTAAATTTTACCCCCCCTCGCGAATTTTTGCGATATCTCAAAAACGGCGGCGCGCAGCGCCGCCAAACTTTCAGTACCTTTTCTTACATCAATTTGACACGTCCCCTGAAAATTTGAGTGAAATCTGTCGGAAATTTTTTGAGAAATTGACGTTTTTGTGACGTCATGTTCGTCATTTTCGCCTCAAAAACGGCAAAAGTTCAAACGCCGCTAACATCTTCATTTTTAAAGGAATCAAGACGTAACAAAAAAGGTTATACGTAATTTTACTTTGTCTATCAAATGGCTATCTCGGATTTTTGAAAATTTTGGATTTTTGCCTAAATTTTTTCAAAAAACTGACTTTTTTGGGAAAATAATTATAAAATCCAAAATTTTGAGTCTATCAAAAAAACCGGAATATATGTCAGAGAAGTGGTCTATGTGCACCTACATACCAAATTTTAGAAGAATCGGTTCAAAAATGTGGGAGTTATTCAAAATGTTATGACGTCACGACACACAAAATTTTTGAAAAATGACTTTTTTGGAAGTTCTAGACCTCGTACGGAAACAAAAATAGCACCATTCAATTCGCCGTGAAAAACTGCATCAGATAGACACCTTTCTAGGCCTTAACAACCAACTTCAAAATTTGACCTCACTTGACCTGACCTTGACCTGACCTCGACCTGAAATTCATCCAGAGGTGGTCCATATCACTTATTGAGTGTGCCCATTGAATTCTATGAGTAAAATGACCCATAAAACATGTGTCGCACATGCCCTTTTCTATATTTTGTTTTTTGGTGACCTGACCTGACCTGACCTGACCTTGACCTTGACCTCTGAATGATATTGTATGCAACGAATATTGTCTTGGTAGCCTAAGAACACGTTTTGGGCGATCAGTTTCAGTCCATGACTCCATTCTTCGGCAACTACGGTGCAAGGCCGATACTGTAGAAACTTGCAATTTGTACCCTTGACCTGACCTTGACCTTGACCTCAAACTTTAAATTAAGTACATGTTTTAGTAGTTCGTGATGAGAGCTTTCGATTGGCGTTTGAATTTTCCAAATCGGACCATTAGTTCGGGAGATAACAGGGGGTGGGGGGTAAAATTTACCCCCCCAGCCCCGCGCGTTCGGCTGGAGACCCCAGCCCCGCGCGGGTTAAATATGATATAAATCAATCTTAAGGGATTCAAAACATCCAACAAAACGACGTACAAGAGTACGGAAACCACCAGATAAACTTAAAAAGCGCCTTGGCGGGCTTGGAACAGAGCCAAGTGGTGCTCCATTTGTTGTTTGTTTACAATGATTATAGTGCTCATGTATTTTTAGGACTCTGATGGTCGGCTTATAAAAAATGAAACGTTTTTACAAAAGTTGTAAGGCAAGTAATATTTATCTGAAAGAACTAAAATATTCAAAAGCCAAACACTATGAAATACATGAATCGGAACGAAAAAGTAACCCAAAAATCCAGCCTAATCACCGGCTCCTAAAACTGCAACAAAATCAGCACTTTTCCCCGCAACTCGTTGTCCAGACGTAAATATGCTTTGGTTATATCATTTCGCATTAAATCTGTGATGTTTTTTAAAAGCTTTTGTTACTTGACGTCAGGTTATGGTGCCTTAACCCGCGAGTTGCTG